CTCGGAGGGGCGGGCGCGGCAGGAGGTGGAGGGCGAGGCGGAGGGGGAGGAGGGATATGTTGCCGTGGATATGATATAGCTGATCAGGTCATGGCACAGATGGCAGACACAACGCCAGACGCCTTCGCCGCGTGGGCTTAAACCTCCATGGGTTGTCTGCGAAGCGCGAAGCAGCCGTCGGCTAGCACGCTCGCAAACGAAGGAGCCTGCGCCTGATGGCAGCGCACGGTACCTCCTGCCATCCGGTGCCTGAGGCTCTGCTGCTTTTGATGGCACGGTCCTTCGCCGCATTATTTGTTTTTTGGCTATTGAGCCTCTTGTCTCTCAGGATGTCCAGCCTTTTGGTTTGTATGTATGTTGTTGTTGTCTTCATTTGTATTGTTTATTGTCTTTAGATGGCCTGCCCTTCACCGCTTCGACAGCCAGAGGTCCGAGGGAGGGGCAGGGGCGGAGGAAGAGGAGGAGGAGGAGGGAAGAAGAGGGAAGCGGAAGAGCGGCACCCGCAGCGCAGACCGTCTCCGACCCGACTGTCTTCACGGCGCCCGCGTCTCTGCCGCAGCGGATGTGGGTCTGGTCCTCCGCTGCAGCGGCCTCCAGGCTCGCCTGGAGCGCCGCCGGCTTGGCCCCCCGTTCATCCTCAGCTGCAGCGCCACGTCTTCCGGAGGCGCCCATCTCGTCAGGGCGCGCGTGCATGTTTTCGCGCCCCCGCGGGAGGTCGGCGGCGTCCTCCAGCTCCTGCAGTCGCTCCTCGGCCGTCGCCTGGCTGAGGCGCTGGGTAAAAAGGCTCCACTTGGGAGAGCACTGAATAGGTCCAGCTCGAGGGGCCGCAGATGCCAAGAGTGTCCTGGAGGTCGGAGCACCCGCTCGCTGCAGAGAGGGGCTGCGGAGTACCACCTCTTGCGCAGAGAGAACGACGCAACATCAGACGTCATCAGACACCACGATAGCTCCATGGTGCAAGGCCCTGAGCTCGACATCGGAGCTGGCCTTGTGGAAGAGGCGCTTCATCTCGACCTCGCCGGCCCGTGTCTGCGCAAAACGAAGCTCATCGGGCACGATGCCCCAAGGAGGGCGCCGAAGCGCCCAACTTGGGATGGTCGGGGATCGGACCGAAACGTGACGTTGCCGCCAAGGGACGCAGACGGGGGCACAGTCGCCCAGGTCGAAGCGGGGGAGCGCAGCAAGTCCAGGAGAGGCAACGCGGACATCAAAACACTTTTTCGGAGAGAACTCGGTAGTGATGTGAGTAAATATACGTTCGATCCGGCTGTGCTGACGATGCCCTGCAACATCAAAGCCTTTCCTACTGAAATCGTCCTGCATCACAAGTCAAGGCATGGCAACGCATCGAAATTGTCTCGCACGACGGTGCCCGTGAAGGCACCAGCATTAGCATCAAACAGGTCAAACTCGCTTGCGACTGAAAATGGCTCCCCAAGAAGAATGAAAATGGCCTGCGAGTAGGGACGAATCGCCGAAGACAGCTCTTCCAACAATTGGTGCCGGTCTGCCTCAACGTGCACGCCACATATCACCAGATTCTCCCGTGACCCAAGTAGTGAAAATGCACAGAGTCGACCAACGATACGTTGATTGAAAACGATCTCTGGGAAGTAAGCGAAAAACGCGCTTCTGACAGCAGTCCCAATTCCCCCGGCGTTCGGGGCAGCGTCAGGGCCACACCAACAAAAACGATGGTCCCCACAATGCTTCTCAAAAAATCTGCTTCTCCGCTGTGCAGAATGAGCCTCGAGAGGTGAAATCGTGGCGGTTGACGAAATTCACGGCGCACCTGGATTTGAGTTTCCTGCGTTGTGGGTCCACGCAACGCAAGCCGCTCGAATTACAAACGCACCCTCAGAGATCGTCTGAGAAATCAGCGAAATAGGCACCAAAGGGAGACGAACGAGGAGTAGGATGAAGAACGTCGTCAAGCAAGGCTCCCTGCTCTCTGAACGGACGCGTTGAATAACACGTGGTTCTCGGAGCTCATCCCTGGGAGGGTGCCTGAAGATTCGTGCCGCTCCCTCTGCGTGCCCGCTTTGATGAACACGAGGCCCCCGGCGCAGAAGGAAGTGAAGAAACAATGGAAGAAGCGCGCAGCGACCCCAATGAACTCATCGAACCATCTGGCCAGGCCGGAAGATGCATGTCGCCATGCTCTCCTGCATCGTCACGCAACCGTGGGCACCTTCAACGTGAGCGCCCTTGCGAAGTCCACCCTCGAAGCCATCGAGGCCGCCGTCTCTGGAAAAGGTCCACCTTGTCCAGCCTGCTGGTGCGCACGCGGATGGAAGTGCCGTCGTCCCGGACCGTGCAGATGGCGATCAGGTGCCCCATGCCGCCGATGTCGATGAATACCTCTCCCTTGCCACGTCGACACCCGACTTGGCCTTGGATGGCTTTGGACGTCATGTGCTGCTCCAACTTCTTCCATAACCGAGAGATCAATCATGCCCAGACACGTCCGTCAGGTGAGGTGATCAGTCCGATTGGGAGGACTGCTTCACAAACTCCGAGCCAAGAGCAGTCCGATGTAATCCGCGGGTCGCTGTGGATGGACTCCTCGAGGGCGGCCTTCGCCGAGGCGGAGTCGTTGAAGACGAAGCGAGCGTGGGTGGTGCTGCTGGCGGCGCGGATCTGGTGTACTGGAGTGTTCGGGGAGAGCGACTGGAAGACCGTCTCTGCAAGTTTGGCCAGCGCCTTGGACCTTTGTGAGCCCCGGAAACGGCAGGGCCGTTTTTTCCCCGTTCCCAAAAAAATGTCCCTTGAAAATGGAAGCGGCAAAAAAACGGCGACCGGAAACGGCAACAGAAACGGCTCCAAGATTGGAACCCGAGCCGGAACTGGTCAAAAAACAGCGACGGGACCGGTAAAAAAACGGCGACGGAACCGGCAACAAAAACGGCAAAGCGGAACCGGCAAAAACAACGGCCCTGTCGCTGCCAGGGCCCACTACGCCTTGGACCACAAGGGGCAATAGGGAGCCAGATGCGAACCCTACCCCTACCCCCCACGATTTCTGAGGGGGAGGGGTAGGGTTCGCATCTAGCCCCCTAACAAGGGGCAAGGGAAACCCTCGAGCACGAGGACTTTGTTGTCGTGGTCGTCGGTGCGTGCCGCCCGCTAACGAGGCCCGTCGCCGCGTGCACGCTCGGTGCCAGCACCGCCCGTGTCGGCTCGAGGTTCCAGGGCAGCAGCTCTCTCCTGGAGCTTCCGGACTTCGCCCATGCAGCAGCGGCTGCCCCCAACGCAGAAGCACAGGCGGCTCGGCAGCCCGCTGCCCTCTCGCGTCACGCGACTGCTCCTCGTCCTCGTCCGCAGAAAGGGGGGGCGCGGGGGGAAGCGAGGAGGGGCATAGGCCCACGACGCCCTCATCTTTTCGTTTCGCCGAGGCGACCCCCTAGATCCTTCGACCCACTCAGCGGGGCCTGCTGTTGCTTGGGTCGAGCTTCAAGCTTGGTGTCAATGAGCTGCTCCGTCTCCTTCACGATGTCGCCCTTCAAATCCTTCAGCGTTCCCGAACCGGGCATCCAGCAGAGCAGGCGCGGAGGAAAAGAAGGACAAACCAGCACCAACTGCACGCAGGCAGCACGTCGGGAAGCGGCAAGCAAGGCACAAGAGATCGCACGCCGCGCATATCACCTTGCGAATCGGCGGAATGGCGATCGCCTCTTGATATCGCACTCCGTGGCTACAATGTGTAAGAAGGCTCTGGCGACAAATACATGCTAAGAGCATGCAGCCAACCATCCGCACAACCGTCAAAACATTCAAAAGAAGGGCAACGGGCAACGTCCAGGGGGGACCGTCCCAGGGGGACGGGGGATCAGCGTTACATCGCCGATAGATCCGCGGTAAACTCCCGATAGCGACATCGGATCTTCCTGGTCGGAGCGGAGAAATCGGACACCCCATCGACGATGAAAGGGCGATCGGGACTCGATGCATCCCCCCCCTGAGCATATCCCCCCTAACGTTGCCCCTGATCAGAAGAGTTCCAACGTTAGGACACTCTAGCTAGATGAACTCTCCAGAAATACCCAGATTCTGACAACGACCCATCATCCGCCCGTGAAATTTGCAGGGACGTTGCACGCGCGGCGCTGAACTGAGAGCCACATGTTGAAGACCACCCGCCTACGACGAATGTGCCCCAGCGAACTCTCGACGCGTGAGGAAGCCTCAACCAGAAGACCCGGCCCACCCTATCGACGCGTCTGGTGGTGCAGCGGGGAGGATTTCCTTTTTCGCACGACGGATGTCGAAGGATGACTAGGAGGAGGGAGCGAAGGAGGAGGAGGAGGGGGAGGAGGAGTATGAGGAGGAGGAGGAGGGGGAGGAGGAGGAGGAGGACGAGGCGGAGCAGGAGAAGGAGGAGGAGGAGCAGGAGGAGGAGGATGATAATAAGTATAACAATCAGCCTGCCTGCACCTTCCCCGCCAGTCGAGACCTTTTCTGTTCTGTGTGGAGGTCGGATCCGCCTCAGCTGGAGGCGTGACGAGCCGACGGCACCTGTTTGATATCATACAAGGGCCACAGCACGCACACACACACCTAGCGCTGAGAGAGTCGAACGGGCAGCGAGAGCCAAGGGAGGGAGGGAGAGAAGACTACGGAAGCGCTGTGCCGCTTAGCGGCGGTCGGGCTTGTCTAGATGATTCACGTGCGAGCACTTACATCAGCCTGCCTGCACCTTCCCCGCCAGTCGAGACCTTTTCTGTGTGTGGTCGGAGGCGATCCGCCTCAGCTGGAGGCGTGACGAGCCGACGGCACCTGTTTGATATCATACAAGGGCCACAGCACGCACACACACACCAAAAACTATGGAAGCGCTCACGATGCCAGAAATACTGCTGGCCTATAGGCCGAAATTATACAAAGCGAGGGCTCTTTTGTTGGCAATGGCATTAGCGAAACATTGACATAGCTTAGCACACATCTTGTTGGGGTAAGGCTCGGCGATAGACGTCAGAAACTTGTTGTCCTGCCTACCGCAT